CTACCATGACCCGGGCACGAGATGGAAGCTCGATACAACAAGTCAACCCTATATGTTGATTCTGTTGGAGTATGCTATCGAGACACGTAAGGACCGGTTAGGGTCTTGTGTATTGATAGAGGAGTAGAGTGTGAGAATACCTTACCATGGGGAGGTACGCTGGTAACGATGGCTATCTAGCGACAACCCTAATGGTGCCATGTGAGGTGGCTGGTACGGATATAGGTGGAGTATGCCGTTGTTCTGGTTACTGCCACGCATACTCAGTCCTATTTTTGATTCCAGACCAAGTCGATGACTTAGCCTGATAGTTGACTCTACCACCGGAACTCGCGAGGATGCATGACACGTTCTGTGCCTCTTGATGGAGGAAACGTGTGCGTGATCTCAGAGTATATGTGAGATGTGACGAGCTGCGTGATAGGCAGAACCCTACCTGTATGGAGGTACCGGTGACCTATTGGATCAGAGGGTCCATTAGGATAAGGCTGGGAAGGGTACTCGTCAAGTCCAGTGGGAGGGTTGTCAAGGCTAGGCGACTTGGGAGAGAGAGACCGAAATTCCGAGGAAGCACCTGGATTTCATGTGCTGATGTTGTCTCCTCTTGTTTCTCGTTAGATTCTCGTCGTAGTTTGTTGTTCGAATTCCGAGGACGGAATTCTTTGTAAGGTGGGTAGACTGTAATGCCCCGTTTATTTGTGGATTATTTGAGATATATTATTATTATTTTTATTGTTATTATTATTGTTATTATTAAATTGTGATAATATTTATATTTATTTTCTTGTATGCCATTATGCTTATTAATTGTCAAATGTGATTAAATGCTAAATGTGTAATTGTCTAATTGATTTTTGTGATTTTATTTAATTATTAATGTGTATTTAAAAATATGGAAATATGTATATAAATATTGTTCGGTTTATTTTATCGCGCGTTTGCATTCGAAATCGAGCCCGAGGACTTTCGTTGGAATCGAAGTTGGGCCCGAGAATATTCGTTTGAACCGAAATCGAGCCCGTGAGCCGATTTATTTTTTTTCGAACCGAACCCGTTTCGGCCCAACCCAAATCCGGCCGAATTCTCCTCCTTAAACCGGTTTTCTATTCCCTTTTCCTTTTCCTACCCGATTGTGTGTGTGAGTGATTTAATCTTGTGGACCAAGTCAACCTAGAATAAGTATATATGTATATATGGTTGTATCTATCTCTCTCTTTGGTTCAAAACGAAAACCATCGCAGATCAATCTCTCCCTCTTCCCCTCGCGATCCAAACCAGAAATTCGTCGCCTCCATCCTTCCCTCTCGCCGGAAATCCTACCATCGTGAAGCCTCGACGATGAGCCTGCAAGCACCTCCGTCTGCAACTGCTCTTCCGCGCGCCTCCCTCTGGTGACCTCCTCTTTCCCCCTCCGCGAGCAGCACCTCCTCGACTCTCGTCACGATTCCGGTGAGCCCCTGCCCACGCGCAGCCGACCCCCACAGGAAGCTCCATAACCGCTGCAACACCCCATCGTTACGAACCTCCGGCGGAACTCCTTCGCGACGCCCTCCCAGCAACTTCCGCCACGCCGTGAGCTCCCTTTTCTGATTGCGCAGCGCCCCTCGACCACCGTTCAGCACCACCGTGAACCAGCAGCGAGTCACCGTGCTCGACCATTGCTCCGCTGTTCGCTTGCTTCGCTAATCGCGAGACGAGCGTCTGCCGTCGAGCCCGAGAAACGCTGCGTAGCACCTCCCGAGCCACCGTGCGTTTGCCGTTCTTTCCCTCCGTGGAGCAGTGAACTCCGGCGGCGACTCAGCAGCAGCGACGACCCTTCTTCGCGAGACGACGCTTGCCGTCGAGCTTGCCACGAGCTCGCCTTCTCTTTCGTTCCGTTTTTCGATTTTTCCCGAGAACGGTACCTAGTCGATCTCGTCTCGTTTAAATCGTTTTTTTATGTTAATTGCTTATCGTGTTTAAATGAACGTGATGTGCTTTTGCGATTCGATGTATGAGATGTGTATATTGTGCGATTGTGTTCGATATAATTTGTGTGTTTGTTATGATTTTATGTGTTATCGTATGTTCGGGACCTTTTCGATTTTCTCGAGAATCGAACGAGACCTCGAAAGTCGTGTAAGTCGGTGGATATTAGAACAATGTCGAGTCCTTGGTCTTATGAAAAGGCCTCGGACGAGAAATTCTATGTTGTGAATTAATTGCCAAGTTGTCGAGCTTGTTAATTACTGTTTCGGTGTTCAAATTTTTAAAAATAGCTCGCTGCTCGAAACGATTTGAAATTTTGAGGGATGTGTTATCTGTTCATTTCCTGCCATGTGTAAAATTTTCATAATTTTTGGAGACCTGTAGCTATTTTTAATAATTTAATTGTAATCTGGTCAGAATAATGTTAAATGCATAAAACTTTCATGCCTGATTGAAATGAGCTGAAAGTCGAATATGTCATGGCTCTGTGACTTATATATGTTGTGTTAAATGTTTAGAATTTTTGGACTTGATTTGATATGGTTAATATTTTATTTATCGAATCTGCAGAAACGTTGTGTGAATTTTTATAAATTGGTTACTTCATGAAAAATTCTGAAAATTTACTGAGAGGCCTATTTTATGTGTTTAATCATGTTTGTGAAAGATGGGAATTTTTGGAGTCCGTTTTGATTCAGTTTGGATTTAAATTCAATAAACTGCTGTTGTTTGTATGAATTTTTAAAAATAGCAGCAGTCAACATTTAAGGCTGAGATTTTTATACATGGACTTTAGCATGCTGCATGTGGTTGTGTAAAATTTTCAAGTTCAGATTCGTTCATTAAGTTCGAGTATGATTTAATGTGTCCATTTTGTTGATATCTTGTTCGAATTTTGTAAATTAGTGTATTTCAAGTTTAAAGCTGAAACTTTGTGTTTTTACATGTTTCTGGAAGATGAAATTTTGGGTAAATTTTCAGAGCTTAATTCGTAGGGTAGCTTGACCATCTATTTTCATGCGATTAAATGATTTCTATTTCCGAACATGATTTTTATGAAATTTTGGGAATCGACTTGCTTTTAGTTTTTATGTGAGTTTGACTTGGTCAATCCTTAGATAGATTTATATGATCTGGTGTATGTGTTTTGATCAAGTTAAGAGCTGAGTCTTAGTGTTCCAATTCCACAGGACTTCACGAACTACTTAGTCGAAACAAGTTCGACTAGGTCTGCTTTTGTGATTTCTGATTAAAGTCAAGATAGATATTCATTGTAGGATCTTGACATAATGTAGGTGTTTGAGGAGTCGAGCCTCGGTCCTCATCTTTTCTGATTTGCTATCATCAATCCGAAATTTCCAGGTGGGTTATTCTAAAATTATCTATGCATATGTGTGATTTAAATTGTGATGAAAGTTTGGTGTGATCTATGTATGAAAATGAACATGTAGCCTATCGATGTGAGCTTGATGGCCGTCGATACGGTTGTCCCCGTATGATAAGATACGGTTACCCTGTGAGGTAAATCTCATTAAGACCTATGAGAAGGCCGTGTCATTGATGTGGCACGCACTCCCATGTTTCACTGATATGGCATGGCTTAGCTTTGATGAGCATAGATGTACATGAGTGAGTCTTTGATGAGACTATAGTCATTGATGTGGCTAGAGATGTGACATGATTTTATTGTTTATGTTCATGCTGCGACCATACCATTATTATGTTATTCATATGCATAGTGTGAGTACGATAGTTAACTGTACTCACTCCCACCTGCTCGTAACTGATGCAGGTTAAGCAGTCGGCGGGTGACGAGACAAGACGGGTGGTGGTCATGCTTTTATTTATCGCTTATTTATTTGCTTCCGCTCATTTATGTTGAGATATTATGACTGTGTCGTTTTGAACTTGGAATTGTGAATTATCTTTATGATTTGGAACTTAATGAATGCCAGTTTGGTTTATGATTTATTATTCGTGCATGCTTTCTTTATTTGAATGTTTGCATTTTTGGTTAAAGGCTTTTGGTAAATTTGAGTAGCGCCCACTGAGTTTTTTTTAATTAAATTAAAGTTTGCGAAAAATTTATTGTGATTTTTTTATTAAATAAATTCGATAAAACCTTTAAAATAAAGTGGGGCGTTACAGGTTAATATACAAAGTATACAATGAAGATACAAAGTATACAATTTCAAACTTACAAAGTATAAAATGAAGTGGTATCAGAGCCTGGTAACAGGTGAAATACTTAACTAAAGAAAATGCCACAAATAGATTGGCTAAATGCATTTTAAGCAAGAAATAAAACTCTTGAAAAGAAAATTGCAAATACAGCACCGCATTCTAAAATACACGAAAAACACATAAAATATTGAAAAGATAAGCTTAAATGTATAAATTTAGCTATCCAAATTTTAGAAACAAACAATAGAACCTATTCAAAATCAAAAGAACAATTCTTTGAAAAATGTGTAGATCCTTGGAGATACAAAGAATAAAGAACATAAGATAAAAATGAGTACAATATAAATTTATTTGGACATAGAATGGGAAATTCAAAATATAAAAACAGATATAATAAGATATGCTTATTTACATGATGTTACAAGTGAAGAATTTTATTATGACATGATAATGATATGTGAAAAACAATTAAAAAGATTAAGAAATCTACAAACGCAAGTAACTGTTGCATAAAATGATATATCAAAAATACTACATCTATACCAAATGAACATTAACCCTTAACAATAACATCATAATAATGGAAAAAGGACTAATAGCACTCCAATGGGTGCCACCCTCGCGGGTGGCATCGAGTGAACCTAGTTGTACCCTTAACAATAACATCATAATAATGTTTTTTACTTGTGTTGTCAACCTAGTTGTGCAACTAAGTTGACAATGTAGCATTTCTTTATCATTATTGTCTCGTGCATCACACAACTATTGCAGTTTGTACTGCAAATCACAATAAATTTCAAGGTTCAACTTGGTATAAATTTTCTTTCCCTTTAAATTATGATGACTAGGTAAAATGTGAGGTGTTAGTTATACTGGTTAGCACCACGATTTTGGGTACAATCTTCATTAACTCAAGTGATTCTTATCTTCCTCTGCACTTCAACTTCTTTAATTCTCTCCTTCGCAGTCGCGCAATCCCTGAAAATATCACCAGTTATTTGGGATTTTTTTTATTCTTACAGAAGTTAGAAATTTCAAAGTTTAGAACATAGGAAGTATGGAGATTCTGCTGAAGAAGAGAGTTCAATTTCTTCTCTTTGTTGTTGGCATTATTGCTCTCAGCATCACAGGTAACCCATTTTCCACCTTTTCTAAAGGCGTTATCATTAGTTGAGTTTTTGTTTCTCGCGAAGTTTGCTTCTCCTCCATGGACTTGGTTTAAGTTATTAGAAAGAAATTAATAAATAAAGCTGCGGATCATTTTTTTCCCCTTTCTTATTGTTCGTTTTATCTAGCCTTTTGATTTGTTTCGTTGGATGGAGACTGATAATTTGGTTAGTTGTTAAATTTTTGGCCTTGGATTAATCCCAAGGGCTGGCTCAAGTTGATTCGTTTGAGGATTAGCAGAGAAATTAGATATCCATTCAGGTAATTAGGAGTTAAGGGGAAAAGTTATGATTGTCGTTTGCATTGTTTAGGTCACACTTGTTTGAACAATGAATGGGCTTTGATTGTTTGAATATGATCGTTTGCTGACTTTAAGTAAATGCTTGTTTTTTCAAGAATCCATAGCCAGCCTAATATTTGATCTACAATTGCAAGTGATGTGGGCAACCACTTCCTATTTAGATATGAATCCGTACTTTCTCGCAAATTGTTGGATATAGTTACTGAACATTATAGGCAATCAAACTGCTGCTGATTAATTTCCGGGCATTATAGTAACTTATGAGTTATAGCTTCTTTATTAGTCTGAACCAGTCCAAATTGCTCTGCCAGCGCTAAATTAGAATAGCTGGTAGACCTGTGTTTCAAGTAAATCAAGTGCCTTGACTGGAGCTGTTCTTTTTGATTGCTATATTTGCTGGACTGGTGCTTCTATAGTGTGATTATTGAAAAGATATTATTATAATTATCACTAGCAAATCATGTGACCCCTAAAGCATACTACCAAGAGTTTTACAAAATCAATGTGGCAGTTGTTTCATCAATTGATGTTATTTTAGTGTGATATAGTGTTTCTTCAATGCTCATGCCCAAGCAGGTTGTTAGAATCAGACACCGTTTTTTGTCTGGGTAAGGTATCATAACAATTTTGGCCTATCTAAACATCTTTAGCCTCTGTCACTCAAGCTTTGGGATGCAATTTTATGGAAAGACTCGATTGGTGCTTTGATCATATTTTAGTATATCTTCCCTTCTCAACTGAGCAAGTAGTCATTTTTAAATTCAACTGATCTGTGACCATGGCAAGTCATTCCAGCTCTGCTTCAATATTAACTACTCAAGATTACATTAGAATCTTTTCATTTGGAAAGCTATTTGGAAAGTTAATATCTCTCTGTAATCTGCTAATGTAATCTCTGTGTTTGATTCCCCTAGTTCACCACACACATTAGCACCAAGAACTATAGATTCAATCTTGAGATTGTTAACAATCTTGATGACACAAATTTCATATCAGCGGTAGTTCTAAACATTGCACTATGCAGCATCAATGACTTGGGATAAACTTGTAAGTCTAACTGCAACATTTTCATTCTTTCTATGACAAGAACTGTAATCTCCTCCTAAGTCTCTTCAATAACAGATAGTTTAATGGATGTCCTTAACTGTCTCATGTTTTCACATGAGTTATAAATTTCTCTCCCATGACATTGTCGCATGAGTACTTATCTGTCTCATGTTACCCTTAAACAGAACAAAATTTGCACTAATTTGGTAATTTTCTGGCCTTGAGTAATAAAAACCAAATGTTTTAACTGGGAAAGAAATCTAGTCAGAACATACACCACTACTGTCCTAACTCCTAAGATTAGGAAATTGATCTGGAAAAGAAAAATGGCATGATTATATCAGCATTCACACATTCCTATTGGTGGATACCAACTTATATTTAATCCTACAAGAAGCTGCTACTCCTACCAATGTGAAAAAAGCTGTGCTATTTTAAGATTGACCCCGTAGAATAAGATCATATCCAATACTTTTGAATTAATACAATTGAGGGAAACTCTTAATCTTGGAATTTGATTACTAGATCTACTTCTGTAATCTACAACTGTATCTGCTGTGATTATCACGAGCTCTTCCCTGTACAGTTTTCCACATTTTGCACCCTAAGCAAGAAATTAGAACTTACAAAAATATGTTTCCTAGATTAGTACTCAGTGCAACTGGTTGTAAGTTTTTGTTTCATCTCAGGCTGAAGAAACCATCAGTCACTACTCGAGTAAGAGTATAAGAGGACAAAAACAAGGAAAAATAACAGTAATGGCTCAAGTGATATGCTTATTTTTGTCTAAATCACTAAGCCCCAGCATTCTCTTAACATTTCTGTTGTTGACTTCATCTATTTGAAGTTCTTATTGAAGAAATCCATTTCTATGCAAAACTAGAACCTTTCGAATGTCTTTGTAAAGTTTAAGGTTTTTCTGGTGAGCCTATGGTTGTGAGAAACAACCATTAGGGCTTTCGAAGAGGTGCCGTCCATGCATAAATGGAAACCTCATCATGTTTTGGCAATGGAAATTTCGTTGTTGGTTTCATCCATGAAGGATTTATACAAACCAACTGTTCAATCATTCTTTAAAATTTTAGTAATCGACAACCTTAATACCTATTTCAATCCATTCGTCAGTACCCATGTTTTGTTGATTACCTTTGTTTTGTGTGCTTTATTCCATTGTCATTTATCAATTATCCCTTTTTCTGTTCTTTTATTCCGCACAGCCGAAAAGTTCAGGCTACTGGTCGGGGAGGAGGCCGCATCAAAAAGCGGGAAGTTTACTTTATTGAACTGTTTCGATGGGAGTTCTGGAACCCTTGCATGTGTAGTCAAAGAGGGCGTAAAACTCTATTTCTACAACATCCGGACTCTTCACGTGGAAAGCAGAAGGAATGAAGCCATAGAGGCTGCCTTGGCCGATGCAGTCTCTCAAGGCCTGGCCGCAAAAGAAGCTGCGAAGGTGGCGCAAAAGGAAGGGGCAAAGGCTGCAAAACTGGCAACGAGAAAAGCCAAGCGCATAATTGGGCCGATTATTTCTTCCGGGTGGGATTTTTTTGAGGCTATTTATTTTGGGGGCACCATAACTGAAGGGTTCCTTAGGGGCACGGGAACTTTGTTTGGAACCTATTATGTGGGGTTCATTGCTGAAGAGAGGTTTGGAAGGTTTGGGTATTTGGTTGGGAGCCATTTGGGGAGTTGGCTCGGTGGCAGGGTTGGGCTCATGGTTTACGACATTGTTAGTGGAGTTCACTACATGATGGAGGAAGGTCCACTAAGGGAAAATCGAATTTACGAAGAAGCCGATTATCTTGAAAAGACTGATGCAGGTGATGAGAATTTTGAATCGACGTGGAGTGGTGATTCTCGTGAGTCGAGCAATTACGAGGCTTCTGCTGATGAGAGCTTTATTGCCCCTGAAGAATTATAATCAGGTTAATTGAGGTTAATTTCTTTTATNCATACTATAAAGCACGACAGTGTTTGTATTTGTGTTGTGGGATTGTCAACTGTTCATGGTAGTATTCTAATTGTTCATCTTATGACAAGGGGATACTCGTTCATTCCGTACGTCTATAGTTCGTGGTGTTTGCGGTTGATCGGAATCTGTAATTCTATAGGAGGATTCGATACATTGGAATTCTAGTGTCATCTTAACTTTAACTTTTCAGGGGATTTTAAATCTTTATTTTTCAGCTTTGAGGATATGATGGAATATTGAAATCGGGAAATCTAACCGTAGGACTTGATTTTTGGGTATTATCTCACAATATGGTAGGAATTTCCAACTTTCTCAATGGAACAGTTTCAATTTTAAGTTTTAGTTTTCAACTTTTCAATTGATGGTTTTAATATTAAGTTATTCTCAATTGAATACTTATTTTTACATTCTAGTTCTCAATTTAAGACTCCAACTAACTTTGAATTTTACTATAATTATGTAAACTAAAGTACTATTATTTAAAATACTTATAATAAAAAAACTATTAAATATCTTAGTAAAGTTACCTTATGAGAAAATTAATTCATATAATTACACTTATGCAAAAGCTGAATGAAATTTATTTTGAAAGTTAAAAAATATTGAAAATTAAGTTTTAAGAATGTATAATTTAAATATTATTATAAATAATTATCTAAATAAGTAATAACTCTAAAAAATTAAACTATTTAAAAAAATTATTTATTTAAAAATTATATTATTGAAAATATTATTTGTGAATAAAATTTCCATTAAATAAAAAACTAAGAGCATATAAGATTAATACTTATAAAAGAATTAATAAATATCTTAGTAAAATTAACTTAGGAAGAAAATCGATTCATCTAAGTTACATTATGCAAAATTTTCTTAAAACTAATCTTAAAAGTTCAAAAAATTGAAAATTGAACTTGAAGAATATATAAAATAAATATTATATTGATTGATATCTAAATATATAATAAACTTAGAAAATAAATATTTTAGGAAATTATTAGTTTTTGTTTCTAAACTTCACTATTAATTTTTTTTTATTTTTTTTTTTAAATTTCATCTTCCCAAGCATCATCGATAGTCAGGCTTAGAAAAATATAGATTAACTATAAGTGATTTGTCTTTTAATTTTATTACATGTTTGGATTATAAATAAAAGTAAATCAAAATAATATTTAGATAATATATTTTAAAGCAATTTTATTATAAACTATAATTTTATTCATAAATATTTTTCAAAATAATAATTTTATCTATGAATAATATTTTCAATAATAATTATTATAAAAACTCCAATAATTTTTTAAATAGTTTAATTTCAAGTTTTATTACATATTTATATTAGCCATTAATATAATATTTAAATTGTACATTCTTAAATTTAGTTTTCAATATTTTTTAATTTTAAAGTAAATATCATTAGACTTTTGCATAAATATGCTCATGTGTGATTGTTTAATATTAATATAATTATTTTTACATCTTTTTACCTTAATTATAATATAAATTTAAAGTCCCCATGTGTGATTGTTTAATATTAAAGTACAATGGTATCACAAGGAATATGTTCTTTTTTACCATAATATATGTGCACGGTTTCTTCATTCCATAATATATATGTCCACATTGTTTTAGTTCTTTTTACCTTAGTAGTTCTTTTTTAGTTCTGTAGTATTGTATAAGCAATTTGTGCATAGAATGTTTTCTCCTTTGGTTTTAAGAGTGAAGAAATTTTATGGTAATCTAATTTGGTGAAGTGCGGTCATGCGATGTCCTACCGTTGAATTTTTGTGTTCTTGGTTTGTGTGAGATTTCGACAAAAATTGAAACAAAGATTCCAGTCTACGTATTGGTACCGTCTACAGGTGAAATATATGTGGAGATATGTTACAAATAAGTGATCTTTTCATTATATTATACACATAGTTATTAATTAATTTAATTTGGTAGAAACTAATAAATTTATGTAAATATTTAATTAATAAAATAAAATATAAATAATAAATACATTTCGTAATATTTTATATAAATATTATTTAATCCAATACCAGTGTAGTATACGGATGTTGTACTAGTCTATATATTACTACAAAATTTTTATTATGTAAACCTACATGTCAACTTATGGTGTTAGGTAATCCTATGTGTTGAATTCTGGTGCTTCGTAATTTTATGCGTTTGATTTGGAGAGTGCAATAAGATCTGGACTTTTATCAATGTCTATTAGACTTTAAAAAATGTAAGATATGTTCGATGCAATTACACTTTGAGTTGGAATTTTTCTCTCTCCTCCGGTACAATATCCCCAATTCCTCCGCCTAAACCCTCGCCATCTCCCTCTTCAATCCACCTCCTTGCAGCCGGTGTTCCAACTAGCTATTCATGTGTGATTTTACACCATATTTATATAGTATCTAGAGCTTATTCATTGCATTATTGGTGTATAAATAGCATTATTGTGTTTTAATTCTATATCTTATTGAAAAGGTATTACACGTGCTTGTTTTGTAGATATTTCTACATATTTGTAGAGCTTTTGGCTATTGGAGGTGCATGGTGAGTACCTAGGACCCCTGAGATGATAAAAGATTGACGCACGGATGAAAAAAATAGAATTATGACCGTGTCAGAGGCTGTGTCACCTCAACAGAGAGATTTCGAGGCTTTATACGTGACACGGGCAACGGCACGGCCTACTGCACAGGCAGAATGGCTGTGTCGCGTGCGCAGGCTGGTTTTTATTTCTTGCCTATTTTGGAAAGGGAAGGGGTTTTACACTTTATAAAACACATATTTACCCTATTTTGAGAGGAGATAACATGAGTAACAAGGAGAGGAACCCTAGACAACACAAGAAAAGCAATTGGGAAGCAAAGAAGATCCAACTACGAAGAAATCAAGAATATTGAAAGATCGACGAGATTCCTAGTTTTTCTTTCTTCTTCCTTTTGAACTTTTATTTATCTTGTCGATTTCTAATATGTCTATGTATTTGATTTCGATCATGAGTGGCTAGTTTATTTGATTCTAGAACTTGGTAGTAGATTAATATGTTGGGATTTTAGATGATTTATTTATAATTATTTGTTTTTCTTTTGAACCCTATTCAAATATTTTGTTCTTATTTCATGTTTCGGACTTGGCCAATGCTTTTATATGTTTGACAATATTGTTCATAATTCGAGAGATGAGTTCAATATTAGGTCTTTAATATTTGACACATTTTACTTGCTTGAATCGAGAGATTAGTAGGTCGTTGTGAGGATATTAAATCTTTTAATCAATTTGGAGTTGAGTTGCATGTGTTGAGTGGAGACGCTAATATATGTGTTGCTAATATAATTTTTTATTAAGGTTTAATTTGTTATATATAAAAAATAAATTATTCTTCAAATTAATATAATTTAATATTTAAGAGATAATGACCATAATTAAATAGTTTTACTAATGGTGAAAAATTTAAATTGAAATATATTAACTGTTCTTTAGAATTTATTTGTATGTTATTGGCAACCATGATTATTTTTTTATCATTTTTTTATTTTGATTTCTTTCTATAATGAAAATCTTGTAAAATATATTTCATTGCAGAGTATGCTAAATAAACCATAAATCCTTATAATGCAAATTAGAAAAATCTTGATTATAGAAGGGATTGAGTTTTTGGCATTTGTTAAATTAAAGTTGTTTACTTAAATCCTAAAAAACATGTGTGTCCATTTTGTAAAATATTTATACACTATTTAATTTTAAATTTATTTACATATTTTGAATTGATTACATAAATAAAGAATACTGATGGGTCAACTTCTAGATCTGAAGTAAACCGGTGGTTGTGAGCTCAGATCTGCTTGAACCGCCTTGAAACCGTTGCTAGACCGCAAGAATACCTGCAAACACTCAACGCCGGAGGTGTTTCCGGCGTAGAGCCTCTGACGCTCAAGTCAGTATGAGAGTGATGAAGAGAGGCTGCGCAGCAGCTATGGTGGAGAGTGGGAATGAATGAGAGTTAGGGTTTTAGGGTTACCTCATCTCCTTTATATAGGAGTGAATACTTACGTGAAGTGCCCAAAATGCCCAAGTCGGTGGACCTAGAAGGTCCAAAATGCCCCTGTCGATTCGTCTCCCCTTTGTTGCTGAGTCATCGCGAGATTCATTCTTATCTTTCCCAATGTGGAGGACTTTGGATATGTTGCAAGTGTGATGAATCGTCATCACATCTTTGTTGTTTAAGGTATGTGAAGTCGACTTCGAGATCAAGGAAGTCTACTCATGGATATGTGCGGATTCGGAGGCTACGCTTGACTAGTTCTTTGAGGCGGAGTCGTCTTCAGAGAGTCGTCTTAGTTCAGTCGACTTCTGGGGGTCGACTTAGAGTATCTGGATGACCGGGAGCTTTGCTGTTCCTCTTTCATTGATGTCGATTAGAGAAAGTCGGTAGATTAAGGTCGACTTGCAAGAGTCGACTAGATCAATCTCGGCTTCTTCTTGATTGCTCTTAGTAGAATCGACCTTTGGGAAGTCGATTTGGGCATGTCGACGGAGTCATGTCGACGTGCGAGTAATTCGAGTGGTTCGCCGGTTGAGTAATAAGCTTCTGGACCGGGTTATCCTTATGTGGCCATATCAAATACTAACATGGATTAAATATTTTTATTACATAAAATAAAAAGAAAAAGAAGACGTACAACTTCCATAACTTTTATAAACAATAATGACATTATATGACAACAAAATTTACAATAAAATAACAAATAAGTTTTATATGGTGAACAAGAATAAGTAAAACTGTTATTTTCTCTTATATCAAGGAATAAATATATATATTAAAATTAAATTTATATTAGTATAAATGTGTTCGTGAGATTTTTACAAGTTAGCCCTAATTAACATGCTCATATTTAATGTTCTGACTAAAAAAACAACGCTGATTAAAAGGAGTGAAAAATAAATTATAACCATATTGTTTTGTAAATTTAACGCTGATTAAAAGAGGTGGAAACTATTGTTTTTTAAAGTTA